TCAAGGAAAGATCAAAGACCTGCCTATCATATTTCATTTTGAAAATGTGGTATAAATGAGTGTGGTATGAAATGACAATGATTTGAATATGAGTTATGAGTTATATATATATATAAAACGAAATCAAATGTAAATCAAAGTTCTGACTGAAAGTAGGGAAAGTGAGCAGGAAATTTTGGCTGAAAGCTAAAGAAAAATGTCAGGTTTTAACATCCACATCAAAGGCCTGAATGAGATCAGGATCAAATTTAGCTTGAGAACGGATACCAATTCAGACACACCGCTAATCTGGCCCATCCACATCAGACAGCACATGTGGTGTGTGGTCAGTCACCTGAGAAGACAGACACTCTGGTTATTCTACTCGGTACAGCAAACGTGCCATAAACTATGATGTCGGTAAACAGGAATGATGGATTTAAAAGCAAATGGACTGTTTCTGTGAATGCCAGGTACCACCCAAGCACAGCTGCCCTCTTTCCAAACTCTCTTTTATGAAGTTCATATAATATAGCTACTCTCCTCTTTTTTCTCTCTCTCCACGTTGTAATGTGCTACGTGGAGCCATGGTCATCTGGCTCCATCTTAATTATATGGGAAGCTTAGAGGGGAATGCTAGCACACAACAACAGAGCACAGCAAACACACAGAGTCCCGAAGCCCAGAGAATTACCAAACATTTCCGAAATTATAGCCCGCTGAAAAGTTTACAAGTGAACTCAAAGACTCTGGAGTAAATCCTGAAGAAACTGTTTCTTAAATGAACTGCCTTGCTGCTGTCTAAAGGCATCATAATGCTTTTTATTTATTTTAATGTTTTGGTTCGGCGGTTATAGCGTCTATTATTAAGGCTCTCTGGAATACTTGATTTTGATTGGCTAGTTCTGGCAGGCAGCGGAGGGATATTTCCTCATATTTGCCATCGCCCATTTATGGCAGCGCTGTATCAGTCTTTTAACTGTTTAATCTTAGGCTGTGTGCTGTTTTAGCAAGTTGGAAATAAGAGTGTGCTTTCTTTTACAGTCACATGACGATGACTGACGATACTTGAGACCCGCGCTACTTTCATGTTTACCACACCGTGCACTCGTGCTTTCGTTACTTAACTGGCGCCATCTGTCGTTGCATTAATGACCTTAGTGGATTTTTGTTTTAATATTAGCCTACTAAAATAGGACTATTTTTTTTCTTAACGAAGGCTGAAATTGTAAAACAATTTAAACTCAAATCAAAATCGAATTGTTTCTTGCTATTTTTTTTATTGTATTGCTGTAATATCTGGTCACCATTTATAGCTTTTAAAATTAGCATGTACCTGTATGTACCATTTTAATTTCATAATATGACAAGTAAAGTTTTAACAAGAAAATAATTAGGGCAGGACTTATCCATTTTATCCAATGTGGCCTTTGCATACATGAAGGTAGACAAGTGCTGGAGGGGTGAGGCAGAAAAATAAGAGGGTTTGGTGATGTCAGCTGAAAAGGGAAGTCATTTCAGAGCCAAAACAAGTTACAATATTTTAATAAAAAATTAACAAACTTTTTTTTTTGAATGCACCAATAAATCTTAAAATACAAGACCATAAAATGTATTAATAAAGTAAAGTGAGTCGTTTTCATTTAATGTTGAGTTTCCATTACCCTGGAAATGATGAATTACCGCAGCAACAATGAAACCTGAACAACATTTGATCCACAATATTGATTTTTTTCGTATCTCATTTCTATCAATGTATCTGTTCTTGTTTGTTTCCCCAACAGGTTTAGGTTACGTGCCATATGATATTCCTAAAGACACACTGCTGTTGGACCTGCAGAGCAACAGGATCACAGAGATCAGGGAGGGAGACTTTAAAGGAATGACCAACCTCTATGTGAGACCTAACATATCGTTATTTCATAATTTGTATCACAATCGCATTTGCTCTCTTTTTGTAAATGAATTTAGAAATGCAATATTGTCCTTTATGTTAATAAAAGTTTGTACAGCATTCCCTCATAGTCCTTGTCCTATTTCAGGCCCTGGTGTTAAGATATAACCAGATCTCCAAAGTTCATCCCAAGGCATTCCTTCCTTTGAAGCGTTTGCAGAAATTATACATCTCCCACAACCTTTTGACTTCCATCCCCAAAAACCTGCCTCCAACCCTTGTGGAGCTCCGTATCCATGACAATCACATCAAGAAGGTGCCGGCATTTAGCTTCTCAGGCCTCCACAACATGCATGTCATTGGTAAGACTGTGTGTTTGATTCATGATGTCTAACAGACCTTTGTCAGGTAAGATGCCAAATTGAATTCATCACGGATGAGGGATAGAGTTATTACAATGGCATACACTGTATCACGTTATTTTCACAACTCACAACCTTCAAAACTGTTTTATGGAGTTTTTGTCTACCGAAAGTTTTTTTTTTTTTTTCTTCAAAAAGACATTTTGTCAGCTGAACAGTAGTACAATCCACTGAACACAATATGTACTTCTATCCCTCACAGCCTCATTTTCATTCCTGTCAAAAATTAAATATGGCACTACCCTGACTAAGGTCTATAGTTACTCACTGAGGTTATAGTCCTGTAACTTGCTTTCTGACAATATTCACTGATAAAATTTGCTATATAAATAAAACTAAAGACTTGATTTGTGCCTCAAACACTGGTTGATATTGCAGAAATGGGTCGTAATCCACTTCAGAACAGTGGTTTCGAACCTGGAGCATTTATGGGCCTTAAACTGAACTACTTGCGCATTTCTGAAGCCAAACTCACCGGAATTCCCAAAGGTAATGAGAATGATGGTTAAAACTGAATATAAATTTAATTCATTGACTTAACTAACTGCCATTCTCTTTGGCATTTTTTCATACTTTTAATTAGTAAATGGGTTCATAAGAATCCTGTATTGTATATACAAAATAGTGGTGTACTTGTTTTACAGAATACAAAATTATTTTCTACATGGAATGTGTCCCATTCTTTTCTAAACACAATGCAACTTATTCTGTTCCATATGGAATGTGTCTCATTCTTATCAGACCTTCCCAGTAGTCTTCATGAGCTTCATTTGGACAATGATGAGATTCAGGCCAAAAAGACATTTTGTCAGCTGAACAGTAGTACAATCCACTGAACACAATATGTACTTCTATCCCTCACAGCCTCATTTTCATTCCTGTCAAAAATTAAATATGGCACTACCCTGACTAAGGTCTATAGTTACTCACTGAGGTTATAGTCCTGTAACTTGCTTTCTGACAATATTCACTGATAAAATTTGCTATATAAATAAAACTAAAGACTTGATTTGTGCCTCAAACACTGGTTGATATTGCAGAAATGGGTCGTAATCCACTTCAGAACAGTGGTTTCGAACCTGGAGCATTTATGGGCCTTAAACTGAACTACTTGCGCATTTCTGAAGCCAAACTCACCGGAATTCCCAAAGGTAATATGAATGATGGTCAAAATTGAATATAAATTTAATTGACTTAATTTACTGCCAATCTCTTTGGCATTTTTTTCATATTTTAATTAGTAACACAGAATAGGGGTGTACTTGTGTTACAGAATACAAAATTCTTTTCTACATGGAATGTGTCCCATTCTTTTCTAAACACAATGCAACTCATTCTGTTCCATATGGAATGTGTCTCATTCTTATCAGACCTTCCCAGTAGTCTCAATGAGCTTCATTTGGACAGTAATCAGATTCAGGCCATTGAGTTTGTGGATCTCAGCCAGTACACCCAGCTGCAGAGGTAAACCCTACACATCCCTACTTTTTTTGGTGTGATTAATATATGTAAACAGACTGTATTTGTTTCTAAAGTGATATTAAATGAAACATTTCCCTTCAGTTGAACTTACATGGACGTATGATATAAAGTTTGCTTTGGGTGTCCTCTAGTGGCTAAAACCCCTCTGTCTCTGTGTTTAGGTTGGGACTCGGCAGTAACCAGATTCGCCACATTGAGCACGGCGCTTTATCTTACCTCACCAACCTGAGAGAGCTGCACCTTGACAACAACCGTCTGTCCGGTGTGCCCAGCGGACTGCCTCATCTGAAGTATCTGCAGGTGTGCTTGTGTAGGCCTACATGATCCTACTAATTCTAGTTCATTTATACTAAATAAACTAAACCACACTTTCATTACAGGTTGTCTACCTCCATTCAAACAACATCACTAATGTTGGAGTGGATGACTTCTGCCCTACGGGTTTCGGAGTGAAGAGGGTGTTCTACAATGGCATCAGCCTCTTTGACAACCCAATCAGGTATTGGGAGGTGCAGCCCGCTACGTTCCGCTGTGTCAGTGACCAAATGGCTGTACAGTTTGGCAACCACAAGAAATAAAACAAAAATGCACAAAACCAATCCAGGAGAACAAGAGGAAAACGCCCATAATTTGTGTAAATCGAGATATTTGAGTGAAGAAGATGAATAAACATTTTCATGGAGGCATAATTCAGAAGAAACATGGACTCCATTTAAACGGAAGTCAAAGTCCAACCGGTCTATTGAAAACTGAATACTGATGTGTGTAATTCCCTGCTGACATTAATGAATATATACTTTAATTTAGTTGACATACAGCATTGATGATTCCTTGAGATGTCTATCAACAGCTTCATTTGCTTAGTTTTCATGGGTTGCATCTTTAAATATTGAGATAAATTCACAGTTTGTCATTCTGGACGGCTGATTGTCACTCATTCATCATGGTAATACTGTAATAAAGTGGATTGTGTTGTGGATGTTTATCATGCCATCACAAGACAGCCAACATTAAAGGTGACAGGCTATTTATTTCTAACTTTAAAGTCAAAATCCTAAATGCATTCAGTGGAATTAACAATAACCTTCCAGAGGTGGCAGGAGATGTGAAGGTGGAGTACCTAAAACACTGAAAGGAGAATGTCTTCACAAACAAGTCCTTCTGCTGGTTGCATGACCACGCCTACAAGGCTTGGCAGAGTAATTTAAATCCCTTTGCGTATAGTTTCTGCCCTTAACGACTAAACAACACGAGAGATGGACTACAAAGAACAGGTAAATTTACAAATATTTACAGAATTAACTTGATGCGTAGATTACAGAAATGAATATTTCAATACTAGCCTATAAACAATCTGTATTATTTCATGGCACGTTAAACGGTTGGATTTTTCAAGTTAAGACTGCACATTCGAACGAGGTTCTATTAGAAATATCATAGAATGTGTTCTATTTTATTACTAGTTTATTAGAATAGTGTTTTATAACAGGCCTATAGGATTAGCTATCAACTGAGAAGCATTACTTTGTTAGAAAAGTGATTATAAATCGGTTATAAGTAACGTCCTTAAAGAATGCAGCCGTCATATGTTGTCAAACTTGTTCTAAAACCTGTAACAGCTGTAAACGGGTGTAATCTTGACCGACTAAACTAAACTGTCATGCACAGGTTGAGCAGGTTGTATCCACCGCGCAATTCGGAGATTTGATCGAGTTCTCGTACCCCATTGGCTACGCACACTGGGGCGTGTACGACGGAGATGGATACGTCATTCACTTTGCGGTTGCCGGTAAGCACGAGAACTTTCACCTTAGTATTAATACTATTTCTATAACGATATAATCATGCTATACTTATACAACACAATAATATAGACTACTATACAAGTCAGATTACATTGTGAGAACTTACCCCAATATAAGGGCATGTTGCCACAAAATGTTAACATCTGATCTTTTATTTTGTTTGTTTGTTTTGTTAGTTAAATGCCTTTTCACAAGTGTAAAATTATTTTAAATTATATATATATACATACATATATATGTATATGTCTTGCAAACTGTCTCATACCAAATTTGCCTTTTCCAGATGAAACTCAGGTGATGGGTACGTTTCGAAATTGTCTGCAGGCTATCTTCCCTGTTTGTGGTGATCTTTTGCTTGGAGAAACTAAGATTCGGCGTCAGCTCCTGTCTGAAGTTAACGTGCCAAAAGGAGCTCGTGTTTCAGTGAGCAATAACCAGCACGCTCTCGAGCCTTCACCTGTGGATGAAATTAGAAAACGACTAGATGCTTTACTGGACAAAGAGTTTACTTACAAAATCTTCACACACAATTGTGAGCACTTTGCCACATTTGTCCGCTCTGGTAAAGCTATGTGCAATCAGGTGAGTTCATGAATCAAGTATAATTTAACAGTCTAGACATTCTGTGTTCTGTACAGTTTTTTAGGCTATTCTGACATGATGTTGATTCCTTTGTTTTAACAGATTCCAGGGAAGCCCAAAAACAAGGAATGTGTGGAATCTACACAGTTATTTAGCTACCTTGTGCCATCGAGTTAACCTACTAAATACCAACAACTACAGATTATCACAATAATAATATATTATGTTTGATTAAGGATATTTCTCACACACTCATTAAACCAGTTAAGATTTCTGTTTGATGTCATGGAAAAGGGTTCTTCACACTGATCTGTAATAGTATATAGATCAGTGGTTCCTCACTTTCTTCAGTGTGCCTGCAGGTCTTGTTTGGTCTCCTAGCCTTGTCAAGCTGGTCTGTTGGCTGGTTTTAAAATGGTTTTGGGTTCAGGCCAGGAGACCAGCTTGGTTATGCAGGAAGACCATATTATACCAGCTAAAACCTATACCCGCTTACACCTGCTTTTTTCAGCAGAAATGCTGTCAAAATGTACATTGAATGTTTAGTAAAGGTGTTCACATGTTTCTGACTGTCCTTTTCACATTTCTAACTAATATGGCACATAATATTACCAGTTTACACCACAGTTACAAAAACACAATTAAATTGCTTGACAAGTGCAGATTTATTTCCTGCGTTAATGCATTGTCTATTACAACAGAAAGCCTGGGAAATATCTAAGAGTTCATCTTTTTTAAATAGCCAACACCCAGCAAACACAGAACATTCCCCTAATGTTAGCATATGGTTCCGGTTTAATTATAATTTTTTTGGGTCCAAATAATGTTCAAAGAACGTTTTCTGTAGGTTTTTGTAACTAAAAAAACATTTGTTGTAACCAAAAACATGTGATTTGCTACTTATTAGTCAGCTGCAGGTGACTGTTTTACCAGAATAGACCATAAGTTTTAAGTATATCTGCTAAAAGTGAATTTTCTGTAAAAAAAAAAAAAAATCAATTTTGATTTTACTGACTTCAAATCAGCCACAAGTGGAGAGAAAGAAATTAAACAAAATCATCAAGATTATAAAAGCTTCTTACGGGGTTTAAAATGAAGCCATTTTTATTAAGCTTTTACATTAGTAACAATGACTAGTAAGCTAATTGTATTTTGGATGAAACTGGTTACCATGGTGATTTTTTTCATAAGGTAAAGGGGCAATGCAGTGTTGTGTTTTATATCATTAAAAAAATAAATATTTATATTCTATACAAAGACCTATTCTGATTCACTTTTTTCTTGTACATTTATTCGTAAAAAAAAAAAGAAGCTTATTTACACATCACGAGAGTTTATTGTTATTTCTGTAAAGACGAAGCGTTTCCTACATTCCCCGGATGTTGCCCCACGCTTGCTCAATGTCCCGGATGTACCTACATTTTAGTAGAGGAACAAAAAATGGGCTCATTATCAAGCTTCACCAAACCGTTTAAATTATCCCCACACACGATTATTGTACATGTATGAGGACCAGGCCGCAGTTCTGAGCAGAGTCCACGTCCATAGTCTCCGTGTCTGTAAAGTGATTCATGAAATCGAAGAGGTAAGACAGTTGTGTACATTCAGTGTTGCTACACGCTGTTGACGTTAGCAAGCCAACAGTCAGTCGCTAAGCGAAGTTTATATCAATAACAAATAACGTTTAAGTTTCTGTAGGAATATAGAAACATTAGAGGGGATCGCAATAAATATTGACAGTAAAATATGTTTTCTTAAAAGATCACGGTGTTCTTCAGCCACTCCTTGTGAATGCTAAGCATCAGGCTAACACACAGCTGTCCAGATAGATTTCAGAAGATTGTTGATGTGTAACTGCTTATTCATCAGTCGTTTCTAGTCTTTAAACTTGCATATGAATAGAGCATATGTTAGTGTTTTTAAAGCCATGATATGGAAGTCAGATGATTGATGCATTGTGCTATTTTGATATTCTCTCTCTTAAATCTTAAAATTTCTGATTCTGATTCTGAAATCTGTTAGATGTTAATTAGTAGGTTAACCAGGTCAGTAACTTCACTGTTCCTCTGCCTAAATATTTTGTCTACCATTATTTATTAGATTTATTAGATCAAAACTGAACAAACAGGGTTAAATACAAGTTTTCTATAGTAGTTAAACTCTAAAAGGTTCTTAAATTGAAGCACTGTCTGTAGATGTGATCAAATGTATAATCTGTATGATTTTAAAAGTTAGATGAGTTATCAGAATATTTAAACTGTATGTTTCATATGTTGATGTGATAGAATACGTACCCTGTTTTTATATGTAGATCTGATATCAGAATATATAATAGGTATGATTTTAAATGTAGATATTATATCAGAATATGTTATATCAGAATATATTTTTGATTTGATGTTTAGATGTCATATCTAAATATATGATCTGTATTATTTGAATATATATGTATATATTTAGATGTGATACCAGAATATAAATAAATGTTAAATGTTTTTAATAAGTAGATGAAATATCTGAGTATAAAATCTATAAACTTTAAATGTTGATGTGATATCAGAATGCTCATGATCTATGATTTTCTATGTGGTTGTGATACCAGAATTTGTATGTTAAATTGGTATTAGAATGTATACTCTTTCTTTTATACGTAGATGTGAAATTAGAATATATAATCTTTATGGATTGTAATGAGAAATTAGAATATTAAATCTATATAATCTTTTCATTTGCAGATGTGAAATCAGAATACATAATGTATATAATTTTATCTGTAGTTGTGATGTGAAAACATGACCTGTTTTTAATTTGTTGCATGATTGAGCAATGACAGCTCTGACAGTAAGTCTAAAAAAAAAAAAAACAGTTGAGCAATAGATCTGTTTAAAAAGCAGTGTAGAATAAACCCAGGTCATGTGGTAATGTTTGGCAATTTATTATTCAATATGTTATATGAATCTGTAATGCTTGAACATTAATTTTATTCTCTTCTAGAGATAAGTTGGAGGTGAGAGTTGCGGGCCGAGTGTGTTGACACAGTTGGAGCTGCTTCATACTGCTGACAGGGCCTTCCGCCATCCCCTCACCCGTCATCTGCCTAGCGAAGAGTGATGACCTCACAGCAGCATGGGAATGCCAACCCTGCCCTCCTCTCGCCACAGAACTCTTCATCAAGTCAGGGCAGGCAACACATTTCTCGTTCCCCGATAGACTCGTATTCCCGCTCCGGGCTTTCCTCTCCTCGGAGAGGCTGGGTTGCAGCGTCCTCATCCACAACAGCTCATGGTAACTCTCTTGCGCTCTCTCTAAGCCGATTGGCTCCGGCGTCCTGCAGTATTTCCTCCTCGTCTCGGAAACCTGCGTCCGGCCGGGTGGAGCCGTGGCCGGAGGAGGCTGTGGATGACGCATATGGGCTTTACTCTCTTCACCGCATGTTTGATATTGTGGGCGCGCAGCTGACGCACCGTGACGTACGTGTGCTGTCCTTCCTTTTTGTGGACGTTATTGACGAGTACGAGAGAGGAGGGATACGGAGCGGGCGGGATTTCCTGCTCGCCCTGGAGCGTCAGGGGCGATGTGACGAGACAAACTTCCGGCATGTTCTTCAGCTGCTCCGCATCATCACTCGACATGACTTGCTGCCGTACGTCACGTTGCGCAAGAGACAGACAGGTTTGTGATCTTGTCAATTTCACTTTTGAGAGATGATTATTATGTACTTGAAGATACAGTTTCATCACTCTGCAATATGTTTTGGCAAGGTGCACAAGTAACGTGTTGCAAATAATTTTCCAGTGTGCCCAGATCCAGTGGATAAATACCTGGAGGAGACGTCAGTCCGTTATGTTTCTCCCAGAGGAGCAGGAGAAGCCCAGCAGGGAACTCCTCACAGAAGAACAGGTGGGTGCTACATTGCTTTAGACCAGTGGTTCTCAAACCTGTCCTGGAGTACCCCCAGCCCTGCACATTTTGTATGTCTCCCTCATCTATCACACCCGATTCAACTCACCAGCTCATTAGTGGAGACGGCAAGACCTGAAGTGGGTGTCAGATATAGGGGAGACATACAAAATGTGCAGTGCTGGGGGTACTCCAGGGAGAGGTTTGAGAACCACTGCTTTAGACTTCTCATTGGTGCCATAAGCATTTTTTTTTTTACTGAAATACCACATTTGTCACTCTGTAAACTTTAGAAAGGTCTAATTACTTGATTAGCCAATCAGAACTTTTGATGTGCTTTACAGTACAGCACATATATGGCATTCAGGAAGCTTAGGTTTTGAAGTGGGCAGGGTTTCGGTTTAAAGAGGCGTGTCTAATTAGCGTGGCTAATGGTCCCATTAAGTTCTCCTGGAAAGTTCATATTTCTGAGTAGGGAAGTTGCAATTATGAAATCAGGTGTGTTCGTGTCACTTTGGTTTATCGCAATATGGCGATGTACCTTTTCTTGAAAAAAATCAGCAAAATCTTTTATCTAGGCTGACCGGAGATGCCCTTTTTCACTGACACGTCCTGGCCAGGATTTCTATATTGGCTAAAATATCCAGGTTTTGGTTTCGTTTTCCTGTTTTCATTCTTGCTGAAGGTAAAGATCAAAAAGTAGTTTGACCAATAGCATGCAGGCATTGTACATAATCGACCAATCGTGGTGCGTGAGAAGGTGGGATCTACAGAGAATGGTCAAAGCGATGCAAATATGCAAAAATTTCTATTTTAGAAACTGTTTCTATTTCTGCGATGTCGCGGCTTGAACAACAACATACAAACTATATGATAATCTCAGGCACTGATTATGTGCTTTATTCAAAGTTAAACATGTGTAATGTGAGTTTGAATATCATTTTGCGTGACCTTATAGCCATACTGAAAGCAACAGATACTTTACCTCAGATATTGAAAATAAATTAAAGCAAACATGTACGTTAAAACTGCGAACACAATGCGAAACAAGCGTTTTTCATTCAGTCACTCAGTATGCACATTTAATAATGTTAAAAAGGTTTAATATTTATTAATTAGATTTATAAACTTATCCATTTCGTTGCGAATGCAGTGCGCTTCCAGAGAGAGCGCCCGCCCACACAGACTTTTGATTGGCTGTGATATTTGATTGATTCTGTCACGTTGTGTTGTCGTGGCATGTCTAGTGTGGACAACCAAATTGCTTGTCACTGGAATCTTGTCGCGTGTTAGGACACGGTGTAAGTTTGGAAGATTTTCCAGAATAACAAATGGCTGGAATACACTATGCAATAGTGTTGGGTTGAGTCCGAGACAAGTCTGAGTCCAAAATGGGCCAAGTCGGACCCAAACAGCCGAGTCCGAGTCCAACGAAACTCTGTTATTTATTAGTATCTTAACATTGTTTTAACCTTTACAACTACAAAAACGCAATGTCCATTTAAATGTAGCAAAAGCAAACCTCTATTGCATCTTGCCATTTTGATTTTTGATTAATAATTAGTGTCCTGTTTTGTGTTAGCAAACTTAAAGTCATGTAACAGAAGTTATGGCTGAATTGATTTATGTATTGTGAAATATTTCAGAGTGAAAGGTTTTAGAATGGGAAAAATTAAAGGGCGGGACTTGACTTTATCGTTAAAGTAAATGTATAAATTCAAGTGTGGGGGTAAAAGAGTAGGTATCTTGGTGAATGGGACTTTAAGAGCAGAAAATGCACCTTTTTATCTCAATAAAAACAAGCTTTATATAATTTTTACGATTTTTAATGAAATATGAATTTTGAATAATCAAAATTAGTTTGTGTCTGCTTATTCTATTCATCAGTGTTTGAACCATTAAAGAAGAAACTGCATTTTAATTTCTGGGTAAAAAAAAATAAAAAATGAATGGACGCCAAAGTACACTGACCCCTTAGACAGGGCATTTTGAACTTTTTCTTGGATGAAAATGAGGCTGTGAGGGATAAACCTAGTCTGTACAATGGCACACACTGTGTATAAAAGCCCTACATATACTTTCCATAAGTCACAGGCAACTCACACCTGTTTTATTTTTGAATGCATTTATAGTTACATTAATTACAATAAATTACATTATGTAAGGAATAATTGATGACGGGCCGATAGAATTATTAGAAAATAATGCACACCCAAGGTGATTTTGGACCCATAAAAACTATTGCGGCAAAGATGTTAGAAAAATTATTTTTCTTTGAAGATAGAAACTTGCACTAATACAAAAGCAAAAAATAATAAACTAATGTAATAAAACATTCTCAAGCTTACTGAAGGCAAGTAAACACTCAAAGTATTACTTACAAGCTAAATGATAAATAAATATATTACTAGAAAATACAAATCAAATAGTTTTTTTTTTTTGTAGTTTTTTTTTGTGTGTAGTTTTTCAGATAGTAGCCTAGTAAAGGCTTCTAGAAATAGCCAACTACAGACATTCCATGAATCAATAAATGTAAAAATAATCTTCACTGTATATATTAAATATAGATTCTTCTTAAAGTTAATAAGTGATTTAGTCAAGAGCAGTGAGTGATTTTCTCCTTTTCTTTTGTTTGATTAACATTTATGACGCAGTCGGCGGCTGCAGGTTTACGCTGTTGCTTTAAAGATCTGACGCATAGATCAAATATTTTGACACATCTATTTCTCCCAACTGTTCAAGTTCACTTAAGACAAAACCGACTGCATTTACATGAATAGTCTCCAAGACGGGCATTTTGACATAACTTTTCGTGTAAGTGTGTAGCAATAACAGAACTTAAGCGAAAGAACTCGGCATTCGCACGCTGACTGAGAGGCGCGTTATTCTGTGAGCGCGCTTTCGGTGTGTGAGCACAGAAACCCGTCGGCTTTCAAGTACTGGACAAGACTTAAAAACACATGCAAATACTGAATATCACTTTCGTGATAATGCATTGAGTCATGACATTTCAGTCAACTGTCCCTGGACTCGGTTGGACTCGGACATATTTTATTTTGTCCCAACTCTAGTTATTATCGTGCTGAAATTCCTCTTTATCTTCAGATTTTATCTTCAGGCCTGCAGGTTTTGTGCCAAAATGCTGTGGTATTTGGCACTTTTCATGATTGCTTCTATCTTAACTACTGCCCCAGTCCCAGCTGAAGAGAAGCAGCCCTATTGCATGATCCCAGCAAGCAATTTTGCGTTTAAAAGACGTCTATTAGCCGTCTAAACACAGCCCAGACGTCTAGGCTAAAACAAGGCTAAATTTGGGCTGTCAGTGAAAATTTAATAGACGTCTAATCATAGCCCAAAAATAGACTAGTCATCAATTAGACCGCTATTAAACGACTACATATATACGTCTAATAGAAAACAAAATGGCAATCCATCCAAACAAATT